ATCATCATTCTTTCTGTAGCAAAATAATTATCTTATTACCTTCCAAACACAAAAGTGAACCTTTATCTAAAGCTTCCAAACTACATCAAAGTAATAGGTCACGTATTAATCAAAGTAACGTCATTTTTAAGTACATCTAAATAAAGTAACACTGTACTCCTTCCCCTGTCTACTTTTCTTCCATTGAGTCACACTCGGGTTAATCTCCAGTTGAGTCAGGCTAGCAAACATCCACAATAAAACTGTAAGAGCTTTATGCCAGCATGATATCTGACATTGCAAAGCCAATGAAATTGGAACACAATATTCACATGCAACTTGCAAATGCAACACTTCTAACATTTGAAATCGCTTGCAAAAATGCGAACTAAACATATCTGAAACATAAAATGCATCCTACCCTCGCTACAGACATGTTCCATTAACGTTGCAATATATGTTTCAAATAATTATGCATATTAAAATCTCATTACCTAGAGTCCTAAAGGGACTCTTGAAGTGAATATTCTATTAGCTGCATTCAGAGCAATGTAATTTCCCACCCATCTGCTGGCAGCAGTGAGACTGCCTTCCCTCTTTTCCACATCTTTCCCTGGAACCTGGCTTACCAACACTAAAGAGCTTCAGAACTTTCTTTATATAGTTGAGCTTATCTAGAAAGTTTTACACAGTGAAATGCGATACACAGTGAAATGCCTAAGAATAAATGGAAAATGGAGTTGGACAATCCTTTTGGATGTTCTCTTTCCCACAGTGCCTCAGAGGAAAGGCAATTCCGTCTCAGATTATATTTAATACATAGATGGCCCCCTCTCTGGTTTCAAGAAAATAATCTGAATGTGACTCCTCAAGTAAATAAGTATTTTTCAGCCTAAGAAGACAGCATGCACTCAGGTTTCTATGAAATTGGTTGTCCATTGTAAGATGTAGATGACTATTAATTTTATTACAGAGGAGAAGAGGTCTATGTGCAAGGGACGTAAGGGCACTACTGGCCTGACCATAAAAGGTCAGGCACTGAAAGATATTTCGGCAGTAAAAACTGCCAATAGCTTTTCAGGAGATTTTCAAAAGGTATCTGACATCTAATTCAAGTAATTCATGTAATCTGGATTTACATGCTAGGAGTTTTGAAAATCTTGTTAGATTTAGTGGCAAATATATCCTTTAAAATGTGGCTCTAACATTAGGATCTTCCTCAAAAATTCCGAAATTTGAGAACCTATATAAAAGAAGTCTTCAAAAAAGAGAACAAAAACATTTCCTCTCCAGAAAGCTAGGGAACAGCTGTGCATCTAATTAAAAATATTTATAAAGAAAATTTTATTCATACTCTGCTTGTCTCCAACTCTTTCTATACAGTATGCTATTTAGCTTTTGTTCTTTGAAGTGATGTAGGATATTTATTTTAATGTACATGTGTATCTTTTTATCAGGCACCTATCCTACACTGCAACATACCAATTGCACTTGAAAACAGTACGATTATTTATTATTTCTATTGGTGCAGCAAAGGGAAACTTGAAGCATAACTGCTGCAATTCTCACACGTGTGTCTTCCCCAAAGATTTCCCACCAGAACAGCTAAACAACTAATTCCCACACATATTCCAGGGAGTTAAACTGTCTTCAGTCATCCTTCTCAAACATAAAAAAGGATGGACTTCGCAGATATATTAATCTTCTAGGCATAGAGGGCTAATAAATTCAGGCACTGAAGAAGGGATCATGGGATCTCTTTGAGAAGATTCTATTGGTGACTTCTCTTTGGTAGTCAAAGAGAATGACTTTGTTTACCTCTGCTTTTAGGAATTGTATTCCACAGTTCTTGCGGTATGGACAGTTTAAAATAACTCTAACCCACAGCTCTTCAATAAGCCATTTAGCTTTAGAAGCATTGGTGTGGAAGAGACTATAAATTCATTTACTTGATTCAATCAGTACTAAGAGGGGAAGACTGAGGTGTTTTGGAGCTATACAAATATTACTGGTGTAAATTAAATAAAATTGTAGCAGAATTTTAAGAAAGAGCAAGAATTTCATTCTTTAAAGGAACCTGGCTGAGACACTGCTGTGGTATTCTTTGAAACGCTTTCTCACTTCATTAACTTCCCATACCTATACGAAAGGCAAACAAACAGTCAAGACAGTTAGTCCTGGATTTTAGGAAACTTTTTCTACAGGCTTCCCATATTACCTCAAGCAATTCCATCTCTCAAAAGGTCCAGGTCCCCAACTATTAATGGGGAATTACAGTGATTTCCTTCCTCATAACAGTGTTGTGAAGGTCATCCAATACATCCAACACAGGCACAGAATACAGATAAATACTTATAATGCAACAACCATAGGCAATTTGTATAAATTGTGTCACAAAATGAAGGTTCAGGAAAGCCAGCACTGCTGCACAAGAAAGGACTCTGAATAATGATGCACTATTATACAGGGCAGGTTCGAGGAGTACAAAAGGAAAGAGAATATTCTCAAAGAATATTTAACTCACTCGAGAGGTTTTTAATTTGCAACTCCTAGCATCTGCTAATAGCACTTTTTTTTTAAAAAGTGACACACATGCAAGTTATATAACCACACCATACATACGGACTGTGGACATGTAACTCACTCGAGAGGTTTTTAATTTGCAGCTCCTAGCATCTGTTAATAGCACTTTTTTAAAAAAAAAGTGACACACATGCAAATTATAGATACGGACTGTGGACATGGCCTTTTCCAGTATTGTTCTCCAGAAAGTATTTCACAGGTCCATCTCTCAAACGGAGATTTTATACACTCATTTAAGTGAAACTCAATATAAAAAGTATAGGAGGAAGAGAGCAAGGGTTTCTTTGGAACATAACCATCATAAACTAGCACGCAAGAGGACAGCTCAGCCGATATCATCTTCAGAAAGGGCTCATGTTCTCTGTCTGGTTAATGCTGCAGGAGCAGGAGCCGTTGATCTCTCTCTGCTCCCCTCTACACTGTCATGGAAATGCTTTGGGCACACTGCACAGAGCTGTGTGAGAGGAAGAGAGCAAGGGTTTCTTTGGAACATAACCATCATAAACTAGCACGCAAGAGGACAGCTCAGCCGATATCATCTTCAGAAAGGGCTCATGTTCTCTGTCTGGTTAATGCTGGAGGAGTAGGAGCCGTTGATCTCTCTCTGCTCCCCTCTACAGTGCCATGGAAATGCTTCGGGCACACTGCACAGAGCTGTGTGAGTCTCTGAGAGTCTTTTTTAATTTGTTCAATCCAAGACAAAAATTGTATTTCCGCAAATTTTTTTATTGAGAAAGAGATAGTGAGTGCATCTGTTTCCTTCTGTAGGTCGTTGATTCACCAGTTTATTAAGTAAAAGCATGACTGTGGGTTTCCATCCCTGATCCAAAAAATGTTTTTGCACAGCTGTCTGTAACAGCATCAACTTGAGCAATTTTGATCGACTCAAATTCCTGGATTAAGTACACTCTTGGAACCTAATTAAGTGGGTTCAAATCATCTTAAGTAGAAGAGAGAAATGTTCCAGCTCCTGGCTGAATACCTTAAACATCAGCCTGAAAGATGAACGGTACATCCTCCATGTTGGCTTTATGAAAACTGTATAATCCGTATTTATTTATTTTAAACTAATCATTGTTGATTTCAAATTGGTATTAAAAAATAAGGGAGAGATTTTCCCATGCATTTAGGAGGGGTGCACTTCCTGCATTCCTTAGAAAGGAAGAACTGCCGATGTTACAGCTCCTTTTTCAGCTCATAAAAGTCTGTATGCAGGTTTGTTTCTTGCGTGTGTTCTATGCTCTGAGACCACAATTTTGCTTATAAGATTTGAAGATTATTTTTCAATTATAGCCTTTGCATCAGATTGCAGTAACTGGGGAATAAAGAACTAAAGTCCTCATCCCTACAGCTAGTATGTATTGACATCTGCAATAAGTGAATTAATTAATCAGAAGCGTTGATCCTCTACAGTTCTAATTGCCTTCAGCACCTTAAAAAAATAGTATCCATAACACATGAAAAAACTGTGGGCAAAAATCTTGATTTTACCTCATACTAAACTTCCAGACTAACAGAGATGATTAGCAAGCATATAGCAAATAAGTGTGATGTCTTTGCAACCAAACATTTTATCTAAGGTAAAAAAAATGAACATAAATACATAAATCTTCAGAAGGATTAGTAAATCTAGCAGCTGTGATTTTTTTGTGTGTGTGTAATAAGAGCTGCACAAATACTATCTACTGATAGGAAGACACTATACTCATGTGAGTTTAAATCCCATGATTAGTTTAAATAATTGTTAAGTATCAACTGAATAAATTACTGCAAAACAGGAGGATAAAAACAGGAGGATAAAAGAAAATGAAGATTGTCCTTATGTTGAATGGAATCATCATATTTACCAATGGTTGCTATTCCATAAAGTAACAACCTATAAATTGTACCTAAACTCCAGAATTTGGAAACTGGGGATTCCCTACATAATAAATCCCCCTTTGGTGCCTTCAGGTAGCATCTCTAATGAACTGTTTACAAGTGATATGGAGCTCTCCTATCCTTCACAATATCTACAAAATTCTATCCTCTAATATGCCACATGGAGCCTTTGCCTACCAGAACCTAATTTCACAGAAACAGCACATGGTCCTGGAGGGTCTTAACACCAACCTTATTCTGAACTATATAACCACATTTTGCCACTTCACTTACTGCATCTGCCTTAAAGTATTCGGCAATTATTTCAACTTCTACTCCCTACCCATGTTATCACAATTAATAAAATGGTTGGAAAAAACAAAGTTCTAAAAACTCTGAGCCTGTAAGTTATTATTTCTATGAAACTAAAAAATACTTTCTGCTATGCAGGTTATTTTTAATTAAGTATTCAAAATTTAAATAAAAAGTAATATAGCTCCTCTTTTCTAATTTCTTTCCTCATTTAATTTTATTTCCATGCCTCAGAGATCCAATACTGATTGAAAAAATAAACATACCAAAATCCACAAGCTTGACTCCTCCTTCAGTGGTCAAGAGGATATTATTTCCCTTAATATCACGGTGGATAGTTTTGTTTTCATGCAAATGCTGAAGGCCCTGGAAAGTAAGATATAGACATTGATTTATTAGTAACAGCTCTGTTCGTCATATTACCTTTGCAAAAAAAGAAAGGTAGCACGAAAGTATCAGAAATATTAAAACAGTTTTTTTTTTTTTATCCAAAACTGCAGAGATTTTACTCTTATTAGAAAAACACCTGGTCCACTATGTGGAATAGCTATTTTTTAATTCCCCCACTTTCTGGAACCTACAGCTTCTATAAGAGCAGCAGCAGAAAAGCACTATAAATCTGCTATATATAATACCTTTAGAGGATAGTCAAGGAAAAGTGCTGAAGTCCTATCAAGGACCCCATAGCAGGGGGTTGGACTAGACGACCTCTAGAGGTCCCTTCCAACCTTAAGCATTCTGTGATTCTATGATTCTATGAAGAATTCCATTACTGAAAGTCAAATTCAAACTAAAAGACAATGGAAAAAAAAAAGACTTGATCTTGATTAGCTAAGATAACTGTTCTCATCACTGTTTGAATTCACTAGATCCGATTATCATTTTGTTATAGAAATATCTTGGATAGAACAGTATTTTTAATATATTTCTGATATGGCTCAAAATGACAATCTGTTCTGACATGAAACAGCATTTACTGAGGAAATAAATCAATGACAGAAATCAATTTTCATTGCCTTAATAATAAAACAAACAGATGAACTGTTCTTTACCTTGCTCATTCAAAAGGAATTGTATAAGTTGCACACTATCTTGGTTTCATTAAAAATTACTATGATATAAAACAGTTTATATAGTGTAACTGATCCTCATTCATTCAAAGAAGTATATATTATCTGAATATTGGCTGTCTTCTCACTAAGAATTTATCTTACCATCAGAGCTTCATGTAAAATATAAGCAATTATAAGTTCATTCATCCTTTCACCTCTCTTCAAAAATCCTTTCACAAGATCAGTCACAGATCCACCATTGCACAGCTGCAAAATCATGGAAACACAAAAACTGGTTAAGAAATGTAGGAGTAACCACTGAATTTTAGTTTTCAGTAGTTTTCATATTTTAGACAAGTAAAATTCTATTAATCTGGCAAACCACAAACTTCTTTTTGTGTCTACCATTTGCAACACAACATACATAGCAACTGATATCAAATGTTTCTTCCTGTCTCCATCTAATTCTTCTTGATCAAATACAAGTGCAGCAGCCTCTCTCTTCTCTCATATACATGGCTGGCTTTCACTGAAACTAAGTAGCTCGTAGTATAATAAATTTCCTGTGAAAGCTTGTTTCTTGGGGGCATACTAATTGCTTATATTCATCATGTGTGACTTAGAGCAATGCAGATTATGACAGTATCAATTCTCAGGTATAAAAACAACATACAATGGAAAATAGATTTAAGGCTTTGGAAGACAAGCAACAGAGAATTTCCCCCAACTAGGAAATCTGCGAAGTGAGAAGCTGTCTTCTTTACCAGGTTCCACTTAATTCTTATTTTAAAAGGTACATAAAAGAGAGATGGGCATCATAGAAGATGATTAAAGCACTCAGGTGGAGGGGGAAAAGTGTCATCTTCCACTAATAGAAGGTTGGCCAGGAACATAACAGAAATCATAGTCAAGGGGTCTAACAAATCTCACCACTGTAGCATCGACCTTGTGAGCAACTTGTTCTGGATTCAGAACCCCACACTTTATCCTTGACCCTTCCTTTTTCTCCTACCCAAATTGCAGTGAGACTCCGGCAAAAACCTGTTCTCTGCTTCCTGTACATCCAGGAAGCAGAGGTTTGGCCTTGCCTTCCAGGAAAGTTAGTACGTACACATTACCAGCAGATTAGCTTAGAGCTGCAAGATTTCTTACGTTCATTTTAACCACTCAAAATTCACCAGCAGGATGAAGCAACAACATAACTTTTCTCAGGTCTGTAGCTATTACCTACCTTCAAAGACGAAAACAGTACTTAAGCCCTTAAACTGTTCATAATATCTCACGTGCACAAGGAAACTGAAGAGGTATTCCCTCGTTTAAAGGGTAGATGCTTCTAATAGAAGTGTTACAAATTTCAAGCTTCATATACATCAATGTAACACAAAATAGTAATTCCTTTTCACTAGAGATTTTGGAGTCTACTGAATTGAAGGGAACAGTTAATCAATAAAATCTTGCAGCTGCAGAACTCCTGACATTAGTTTTTTTTGTTTGCTTTTGTTTTTTTAACTCTGTTCTTCTAAGCCATTACATTTTTCTCTACGGTAATTACAAAAAGACTTGCACCTTGCAAGAAAAAGCATTTGATAGACCTTTGTACCCAAACATGACGATAATTTTGTGCCTATCCTTGGAAGCCCTAGGTTGCGCTAAACTTGCATGACATGAACACCTACACAAATACCATTCAATACTGTTCTTGGTGCAGGATGCTTCCCTAGTCAGGTCAGTGAAGGCTCTGTTCTGACAGATGCTCTATGGCAGGAATCTTGGAATGCACTTAACCTCACCCTTAACTCAGATCACCTACATCCTTAGAGAAGGGAAAAAAATATGCTCTCATGCTCAAAAGAGCACTTTGCTGGACAAGGGTCAGATTCCCAAGCAGGACTGAGTTTACTGGTCATTAGCCATGCTGGTTGTTTTCTCCACTGACTTTTCTTTTTACTTTTTTTTTTTTTTCTTTTTTAAACAATGCCATTATCCTTCTAGCCTCTCTGTTATTTTAACTTTGCCACATCACTGACATATTTAATTAAACCTAACAGATGATAGCAATTCTAGTCAATTTAATGCACTTACAATTCAGGGCACTGAGTCTGGCTGGTAAGCAATGAGTGGCAAAATAGTTGTGAAATAAATTACACAAATATGATATTGCTTTTCAAACTATTTTTCTTCATCATCTAGTATTAAAATTCTGTTTCTTATTGATAGATCTTCTGGTTTTGTAGCAGAATTAGGCATCTGTTAGTCTTTCTGTCTAAATTAAAGAAAACTAACCAGGTAAGGAATACATCATTTCTGCAGGTGGCAGACAAAAGAACGAACGCCTCGAAAACTGCCTAGTTCAGTATTTAGGCAGTAAAGTACTAGCCCAATCGCCCCAGACAGCAATATTTATTTTTTCTTTTTTAAACTTGTTGTTTTTAACTATTTTTTCTACTCTTCTAATAAGATATGTATCCCTATTACAAGATAAATATTTGCATTTTAAGATAAAAATTATATAAAGCATCAGCTTAAGAAAAAGAGTAAAACTGTGGTGACTTTAGACCAAAACAGAATGGAACCTGGGTACATAAAGGATCAGCTGAGCAAGTCGTGGATACTAAAGTCATGCCCATCACAAGAGAAATCTTTTACAGAGCCCCAGAGCAGCACAGCTGCTGTTGCAGAGAGTTCATTGAAAAAATTTACAGCCACAGGTTCTTTCATGCACAGGTCGAACTTTTTTTTTTTTTTTTTTTTTTTTTGCTTTCAAAACAGTTGTACTTCTACTTACATCGGATAACTTGCAATTTTGTGTATAGCAGAAAGAAAAAAAAATGGCTGGGTATTAGAATGCAAGCAGCTAAAAAAAGGAAAAGGGATTATTGGAATACAAAGTACAATTAGAAAAGGAGATTATGGGAGACACTGCATCCCTGGGTCTGAGCTGCATGGCCTGAGGGGGAGGAGATGGTGATGGCGACGGTGACGACATTGGTTAGCATTAACCTCATTCTGTTTCTCTACAGGCTGAAGATGATCTCCTGGGTAAAATGCTGCCTCTGCTCTCATTTCCCATTTCTACGGCCTGTTTTTACAGAGGATGATGTCACATATCTCTATAACCACACAGGCAGATAAAGTTCAAGTTCAAATGGTGGTCTTTTTCCTGATTGATGTTAACAAATTACATTTGTTCAATGCAAGCTCATCCTAAGTGTAGCAAAAGTCTCCTCTCTTCCATCTCAAAAGAAGCCAAGGAAAACCACAGGACTCCTGCCTGAGGCAGTTCTGGTTGCAGGAGTTTCTTTTTACAAAACCTGGCAGCGGCAAGTGGGAATCTGAGCAGGAAGGCAGAAAAATTATCCTCAGGATGTTGATCAAAATCTGCAACATGGCATGAAATCTTAAAACAGTCCTTCAAATTTGCAGTTCTTTAACAAGAGATTAGAGGATAAACATTATTTAGCAGTATGACCAGACTGGAAATTTCCTAGGGTGTTGTTAAATATTGCAGTTTATAATTATGATCTTTGCTGTTTCTGATTAGCATGCTGTCCTCAGCAAAAGCTGTGTATCTTCTTACCAAAATTACTGGGTTTGAGTTGTAATTGTAATTCTTGCACGACAAGAAATCATGAAGGCAGCAGGGCTAACCTTTGCAAAAGGTTATTTCTTTTTCCAGAGATTGTAAAATATTTTCAGAATACCTTGATGAAGTAGAAAACAAGAAATGCACAGAGAAAACAAGACGCATGCAGTAGAAGCCACCTGTCCAATGTGCCCTGTGCCATAGGCATGCTTCCCACCCTAGGAACTGATCAAATTTCCTTCCATGTTACATAAGACAGTTTTTTCCGGAAAGAAAGGATGAAACTTGTCTCTTTCATCCCCATGCAAACATACATACACCCTCATTCTTTCTCTTGCACACATTTCTGGAGGGTTGTGATGATTTTAATAATACCTATTTTAAGCAACTAGTAATCATGGAGAGGGGAGAATAGCATACGGGAGAAGAAGTGATGGGATCTGTTTGCTCAACTACTATAGTAGAAGATGTGAACTAAGAAAAAGCAATTCAATTTAGTTCTCGGAGTGTGTGAAATGCACACAAGAACAAAGTCAAGCAGGCCCTTGTTCCTGTAACCTTTTCCAGTCACTATATTTTCTAGATTTAGACTCTACAATTTGCCATTAATGTTTCTGAAACATTTTTCCTGAACTGCATACATACACTATTCCTTTGAATGTGTTTTCCTGCAGTTCTATTGCTTAGCCAGGTATGTTTCATTTATGTAGAGCAGTGTTTTGCATATGCCCACCAAATTTTATCTTATGATTCCAAAAAACCTCTCAAGTATGTTGCAGTTGTGACTCTGGTGCTATTCTCCAAAGTGCCTGTAATTTAACTAAGTCTCCACCACAAGTTTATTTTATTAATGAATAGAAATTGTCCAAAAGAAGATTCCCACTTAATGTTCCCCAAACCCAAAGGTAGGCCCTGTTCTTTGAGTTCTTGAGTTGTCTGGTTTGTGTTTAGCAAAGTCTCTTTAGTAACGATCCTGCTTTCTTTACCTTCCTAAGCACAGCCACCTACCAGTTCCCCTGGCTGGGTGAAATGTACTTTCATGAAGTCCACTAACCTTATACCACCGCTTTTTACACCTTTCCTTTCCTCAGAAAAGGAAAGCTTTTTTCCTGCTTTTCAAAACAGATCTTGATTAGAACAGAATCAAATTGATATAGCTATTTCCACAGTTACTTCATTTGCATTCTCTCTCCAAGAACTGGAAGGACTATATGACCCACAGTGTCGCCTGTGAGTGTGAATTGTGAGCAGATGAATTCCTATTTTCTACCTACAGCGTGACACATTTCTACAACTACCTACAGCTAAAGGTCACACTTCACTGGCAGGAGCTAATGTAACCACAAATATGTCAAAGTATAGTGTTTTGTAAAGACATAAAAAGAATTAAATCAGTTTCTTCAATGGGCCAAATGGTTTGATATCCTGCTCCTGTCTTGATAGCCTACTTTTAAGTTTACCTCAAATGGAAGAAAGATGTGCATGGTAGATCCTATTCTTACCAGCAACTGCACAGGATAATCTCTAGCCAAAAGAAGGCATAGCAACACTCTACATTTTCAGGTAAAGTTGACTGTATTCCATTTAGTGTGAATTAAATATATCACTGAAATAGATGTCTTCCCTGTGTTCTGATTTAGCTTCACTGACTTCAGACTATTTTGTATTTCTAGTTTTGCTTTAA